GCCCCCCCCCCACTACAGGAATGGTGGTCTTGCTTAAAGAGGTGAATTTACAATGTAGAGCGGAGTAGGTGGCCCCAGTGTTCACTAGGAAACCCACTAATTGAGGCCCCACTTTAGTTGTCCTCAGGGCTCCTGAGAAGCTCTCATTACTGGGTTCTCTAAGACTGCCAGGAACCCTGGGCCCCCTTTAGTCACCGTCATCATTCATTTTATCTCGCTGGGTCTTCATGACCCCTGGGGAAGGCTTGTCCCTGGGCAATTTTGTCCTTTATTAAACATTTTCAAAAAGGCCTGAACAAATAGGTAATTTCTTTTTATTTACCACTTTTTTTTTTTGGACAAAACAGTTCTAATTGCAGAATAGTATAATAACACAAAGTACCATTCAGTGGCTTTTTTGTGGGGGGACACTTTGGGGAGACTTAAATATCAGGTAGCCAGTTGTCTAATGTTAAATTTTGATGTGGTATTTACATACACGTGATAGGAGCTACCGACCATTACACAAAAGTCTTTTCTATTAATATCTGGTCTAAAGTGATTTTATTATCTAGGAACTTAATAATTACAAGGAGACCTTGCAACCATAAGGTTGCAGCTACAAGTTGCCAGCAAACACCGCTTTGAGGATGGCTGGTGGCGTCCCAGGTCTGACATAGTTCAGAAAACTCAAGTTCTCAGCAACACAGAAACTGTCTGAGATCTCACCTCCAATGGTTACCTAGTTTTACCTTAGATGTCTGAACTACAGTCACTCCGTTTTGATTTTCAAATGCATTTCTCTCCTTAATGGCCAAAGCAGATGTCCCCATTAATGATTTTAGTACTTTTCTAGATAGGAGGACATGCAAGAATTTGGGCTCATAAAATCTTCTCCTAAAAATTTATCTATCTATCTGAAGGCCTGTAACTGGCAGTTTTTCCCAGAGCACAGAGTGTCTCATTTCTGGTCTCCACCCTGAAATCGTTTCAGGGTGTGCTGAAGGTCAGCGACTGCAGTGGTGTGTGACATAATCCTTGCAGAGACAGCTGACAAGTGCCAATTTTTAGTTGGCAGGGACCCCATGATCACAAATTCAACCATGGCTTGGAAGGCATTTAATGACCATTTTTCCCCATGAGGCTAGGAATGCTCATTCCTAGGCCAAGCAAGGATTTCACTGATAGGCCACTCAATGCGCTGTTACTAGACTAGGCCTTAC